GAATTCGTCGTCGGAGATAGATTTAAAAGTTGAAAACGGAACCAGAAGAAAAGCGTATTATCCTCAATTCACATAGAAACTAGATAATAGACGCTACAGCAAACAACTGCCTTCTTAGATATGGTGAATAACGGCTGCCGGACCGGATGCACCAAAATTTCAAACTATATACCAGTTTAGACTGGTTTTTATATAAAGCTGTCCGAAATAGGTGAGATCTCTAGATATTATCTTACGTGCAATTTCATCTCCAAAGGGAAGGTTCGTTTGGGCCGCGGCTTCGGAGGGGAAGGTCATTAGTAAATATTTTACAAATTGGGGAGGGTCAAACCTGTTTGATACGCAACCGGGGGAGGGTCACAGTTTTTTCTTTTTTTGGCAAGGAAAAAACTACTCCATGTCGGTTACCAAACACACGTACGCGAAGTGTATAGAAACCTAAAACTTATATATACAAGCAAATCTACCAGCCTAAATCAATCTACATCATTTTAAACACATGTCGAAATATTATATCAAAAAACTATCTTGTCCCAACTAACGTAATTGTCTCTCTCGACCCGTGCCCGCTTTCGTTCATATTTTGACGTCGGTAATGTTTCCGATGTGCTACCAACAGAGTCAGAGGAGTAGCGGGCATCCTTTTTAGAATGGCGAGTCGGCAAACAGCCACAATAGCCACAAGTTGCTCTATCTGACCTCATGAAATCCTCGCATTCTCCACAAGCACACTTCCCCCTTTCTATTCCTCGCAAATACTTGCCCATTTTCAAGTTTTCACCAAGCAACGCCAAGCAATTAACTGCTTTGTGCGCAGACACGGTCATGTGAGCAACACTTCCGGTCAGTCATTTTCACTTCCGGTTAGTTTTGTCTTGGAGGAGGTTGGGGGAGGGTCAGATCCTTTTGTGTAGGCATTTATCAAGGGTCATGGATGAATCCAATCTGGAAAGTGGGAGGGCCACGACTTTTTTGGCAAAAAATTCTAAAATATCCTCTGCCCACCCCCCACCCCCCAATAAAAAACGTACCTTCCCTAAGTAAAAAAATACATGTGTATCAGAGAGAAATTCTCTCAGTTTCATTTGATTGTATATAAGTTATCAGCCATTAATTAATTGTAATCGCACGTGGTAAGGGTGATGGCTCTATATGAAAGAAGTGCGTCGTTCAGAGGCTGATTTATAAACTGAGAAATCATGAAACTGTCCTTCTTTCTCGTGTTGCGGTCATGGAAAGCAGAACGTATCGCAAAAATATCACTCAGCTGAATCGGCCGCTGGTCCCACAATACATTTCGGCACAAATATGCCTACCTCAAGACAGCTCTTCACAAGGAGCAAGCCTTACCCCTCAAGTACCGGTGTTAGATGGTTGAGTTTACGTGTATTGGCTACAATTATTACTGCAAAATTCTAGATTATTTGTAGCTTGGAGATGTTTTTGTTAAATGTGCTTGACCGTACGGGAGGCGAATTGAATAATACGCAAAATGCCAATGCATTTATAACGTTATACAACGTCTTAGTGTTGAGAAAATGTCTCACCCTATTTATCTGACATGAACCACCTAAACATAATGATGCAGCGTTCATAATGTGCTCATCGAAGCTACGGGTAGAGTCTACTTGACTTTCCAAGTCTTCTGCCGTGGAAGCTGGAGAAACCATGGTGACGTGAAAATCAGTAAGTAGTCTCTGCAGATGTTTCGGGTTCCCAAAATCATCAGTTTGGTTTTTAGCTGGGTTGATTAAATAACTGCTATCATTACCCAACTGTGCTTCGTAGAGTACAAATAACGCGCGAGACGAGTACAAATATCACGCGATATTTGTACTCGTGAAATATCCGCGAAATTCGCCCGCACTGAAATAACAATTTGGCGTGTTGAATAATAAATCTCTCATTAGACGTTTTGTTGTGTAGTATTGCTGAGTATTTTTACTCATTGCTTGTATTTTGACTCGCCCTACAGGGTCGTCAAAATACGGTACAACTCTTAAAAATACTCCGCCATACTACACAACAAAACGTGTAATAAGATATATTTATTATTATTATCATTATTACCATCATCATCCTCATTATTATTGTTACCTTAAGCATCCTTAAAATTATTACAATTATTATTATCATTATTATTATGTTAGTATTACACTAACATCTAACGCCAGAACGAACTCAGAGATCTGAAAAGGGAACTGCTTCGCGCGGTGGCCAATTAAGTTGGAATAGAACCAGTATTGCAAGAAATCACAAGAGAAGAGTTGAGTAGGGGAGCCAACACCGCCCCTTGTGGGGTATTCTAGTAGAGGCAGAGATTGGCGATTTTTTAATTGAGAATTTGCCACCCAAATGCGGACTCCTGTAGAGATATGGAGCCAGACCAGAAATGCAGGTAGCACGAAACAGAGTAGAAGCGCCAGTACACTATCCAAGCAGGCAGCACGAAACAGTGAAGAAGCGCCAGTACACTAACCGAGTGTTAAAAGTAGAGTAAGCTACATTCACGCCATTAGTTTTGATCTGCTTTCTCCTTAACCTTGCGGAGAACAGGATTATATCAATAAACACAACCGACAAAATTTTTAAAATTTAATAGCGTTCGTAAGCGTAAAGTAGATACATGCGATGATACCATGCTGAAACGCGAAAAGTAGATGCTTGGCGATGTATCTTAATTAGTACTCAGCTAGCTCCTACTCTATAAAGAAAAACCATCAACCTTCATTAAATCTCTTGGTGAAAGAATAAATCGTTAAGGTACTTGAGGTACTTATATTATCCTAGTTACTGTCTAAGAATGTAAACCCTATCCCCCTCTAATACAAAACATATACAATCTGCTACCACTCTCCCAAAAACAGACATTTGGAAAAAATCGGCACATTCCATCAGATTCAATCACTCTTCGTAGGTTCTTCAGTTGTGAATGCTAACTAACCACCTAAAATAAACAATTTTTGAAGAACGACCGACGATAAGTCAGTTTTCTCCCCAAAATAAAAGTGGTCGAATTTGTACTAGCCTTATTCAACTGAAAAAAATGAAAAAAAAAACCTCACTAAAATCATAAAAAAGCAATAGATCAATTTTGATTTTGTGTTGTGGAAAACATGACTGCCACTCAATTTCTTCTAAAGCCCACGCATACACTGCTTGGTGAATGTAAATTTGTGCTATTAGCCGCTTTGTAAGGATGACAACCTTCCAATAGTTCCCTCCTCCAGTTCCCTTGAACTTTATATTATGAACTAAAACAATAAGGAAATACGTAGCCGTTATTCTACAATTGCACATTTAACTGAGATAAAAAGCGAATAAAAAAATTATTCTTCCGATTTGTTCCAAACTATCTTCTAAAGCCGAAAAATTCAAAACCAATAGTTAATAATTTTTTTTTTTTGGCCCATTTAATAAATTCACAGTTTTTTTCAAAGATGACTCTATCAATAGCGAGAGAAACAAACTTCCTTGATGACGCATGAAACATCATTCGAGAAAGATTTTGAAAGTTACGAAGAAACTACACTTATTTTCAAAATGGTAGGTTCAAACAGCTTTACTTCGTGTGCTCGCATATAGACCTTCTCTGGCCTCGTTCAAAAGTTCACGTCAAAAGACTCAGAAAGAGTAAACCCACCATTTACTAAAAAAGGTATAAAGCCAAAAATAAATTTGAAAAAAGACAGTTCCATTCCTGATTTGGTTGTTATTGCACAAGGGAACTTTTAAACTTTCACTTCGCAAAATGTCGTATAGCTACAGAGATTACAATATGTAGAACGTTATGTTTTAAAAGACGAAGAAACAGTGAAAACCAAAACCATGCACAAATGCCGTAGAAGATCCTATCTCTAAAGAGCTCTTCACTGTTAGCGAAACTATTGTTCTTTGGTCAAGAATAGTCAGAATTACTTTGTGTTTGATAGCTGTGATAAAAGTTTTTTTTCTGCATCTCGCCGGTGGAGATGAATAGACAACACTATACAACAATTTTGCTGAGACAACCAAATCAAGCAGAAAGCGTTACCAGTGTCTACTGCGAGGAGGTTAGCACAAAAGACACCAAAAACGATGATTAAACACAGTAAAAACTCTGAGCGACCAAAAAAAAACGTCTGAAAATAACAAAATTTTGCTGAAGACTAACACTCTCATACAGAATTAATCTTTAGACTTCCATGGACAGAAATGTCATATGGTCGCTCATGAAAGGTTCAACTGTACCAGACTGTCACTTACGCAGTGGCCAGCACGAAAAGTGCTCCGTAATCCTACGCTGGATGGTGTTTGAAAATCCTCATCCAAGAATGGTAATACTCTACTCGCTAACTATAGAGAAATAAATTCTGTAGATAGCGCGGGAGTCCGCCAAAATCCCGGACTGCAGACATGCTTTCCACAACATAAAGCAAATACAACCCGCTTGCTAATTTCAGCTTCTACCAGTAAATATCGAAGCAAATGAATAATGCAGAACACTATTACAAAAATTGCATCATGGCTTTTTGGCGTAGCGGAAGAGGAAGAAATAATCCATACAGGCTTCATGAAAGCAAAAAGATTCAATGATCGTATTGACACTGAAACCCAAAAATTATGACAGAAATCAATTAGAAATGACCTCAATTTCTACCCGTACCCAGGAAGTTGCCATGGCCTTTCCTGAAAGTTAACATAGATGACGAATAAAATTCCCTGATACGTATGATGCACGATCCTCGCAGTGGAGAGCGCTATTTAAGCAATAGCGAAAAACAGACCTGAAAAAAATCAGGCCTGTACGGGATTCGAACCACTAACCTCTGCGATACTAGTGCAGCGCTCTACCAATTGAGCTAACAAGCCAACTGGGAGCAGGCCGTTAAGTTGATTCGTAATAAACCCGTGATGATAAATCAGATACAATAAATATATGAAGTTCATATATTTTGAACTGCGTTATTAGATACGTATGATGCACGATCCTCGCAGTAGAGAGCGCTATTTATGCAATAGCGAAAACCAGACCTGAAAAAATCAGGCCTGTACGGGATTCAAACCACTGGCCTTCATATATTCATTGTAAAATACCCTGAGCTTCAAAAGTGCAGTGGTTTGATTAACATAACATAAAGTAATCAAAGAAAATTTGTTTAGCCTTAACTGGAACCACCCAAAGGAAGAATATTCGAGCTCTGCTTTACAGATCAGACGTATCCACAATTATTTTCAGAAACATGGCATCGTCCCTGACATATGCATGATTATTCAGCTCAGCAAGCGAACAGAACATTGGACATCCACTGGCGATGTTAGTTTCTCTTCTTGGCCTCTGGAAGGATGAGCTGTTCGGATCAGGTCTGAAGGCGTCAATCACGTGTTCCACGTTATCTTGATCCAGCAACATGAACGTGACCTTCTGTCTGAATGGCCAGCGAAGCAGTGCATCATACTGACCGCGCATGACCACAAAGAAGATCGAGATGTGCGTCCCTCTGCCCATTCCGTCCCCGTTCAAGTAAACGCGGGCGCACATTTTGTAGCCATAACGACTGGTATAGAAACAAGGGCTGTAGAAGGAGACTTGCTGCCCAGTAACTGCGTCATTTCGTTTGCGAGCGTAATCAGAAATCTTCCACAACAGCTGGCCATCGTAGCTTGAGAACTCTTGTTGTCTTACGTATTCCTCCAAATCAGCCAGGGTTACATTTCTAAGAGCCAGTGTGTGCTCGATAGATTCAATCCTTCTGTCATGCCTCCTAGAGCTCTCCTGGGTGGTGTCAAGTTGCCTTTTCATATTACCCATGTCACGTCTAACTTCCTCCATCGTGCGATTGTTCTCCACCAGAAGAACCTCATGATCAGCGGTTCGGTTTTCAACGTTAGTGACTCTTCGTGTAATCTCAGGATTTTGTGCATCGCTACCGGACCCACTGGCTATTTGAACGGAAGAACCAGCACTTGAGAGATTTCCCGAAGCCACTTTTCTCTCCAAAGCGGTGATCCTCTCGCTGTGCTCTTGATGTTTTAGGATCAGATTTCTATTTTCACCCGCCTGTATTTGAATTTGAGAGACTAAATCTGTAATTGCACTCTCGTAATTAGGAAGGATGTGCGGATCTCTGGACACGATCCTTGGATCTCGAATCAGCAATGCTTCCAGTTCTCTGCTAAATCGTACGGCATGGCGCAAAATCAACGTTGTGTGGTAAGTGTTCATTTGCTCCAAATGTTCTTTTCTTTGCTCCCGGGTAAGGACCTAAATTGTATAGGAGAAAAGTGTGCATAAAACGTGGCGCTTCTGTTACCTACTTTAACAACTCTAAGTCAACAAATGACAAAATATTTGAATGGACTGCTGAGGCAGGATAGTAATTTCTCAAAAATGAATCCATTTACGGTAAACTGAAAGGATTAGAAATAGGTGGGGCTGAAATAGATACCTTTAATTAGTCCGAAATTTTAGGACTGAATGGCGCCTGAGATCGAGCAAATTAATAGGACGACGAGTTCGTAGAAAGGTAATTTGCTAATATCAACTAAGTTGAAATTGTAAATTGGCTACCGTAAAGAGTTCAAAAGCTGACGTTTCGAGCGTTAACCCTTCGTCAGAGCGAATGGAGGAATTGTGGGTTCCGTGTGGGTTTACATGCAAAAAGTGGAGCTACGCTATTGGTGAGTACATGGTGACGAGAAAAGCACGAATAAATTAGTAGAATGAAAAGCGTTCGTTTATACCTATGGGGTAAGGAGTGCCGATTTGAGAGAGAAACTTGTTCAAGAGTTTTACGGCTTTCCGAGCTACCTAAATGTAAGAAAAGACCGCAGATTGCCATATGCTGCTTAGAATGATTAGGTAGATTAAAGTGTCTAGCGACTGGTTTTGATGCGGCCTTGTCATTCCTTTCTACGTCGCGAAGGTCTTCTCGGAATTGGAAAGCTAGTCGTCTTCCTGTTTCGCCGGTGTATATCTTTTTGCAGTAAATGCAAGTTATGCAATAGATGACGTTGGCGGAGGCGCACGTGAAGTAATCAGTGATCTTAATGGATCGTTTGGGTCCCGATATTTTCTCAGCGTTGTAAAAATGAAAGGAAAAGTTTTGCACCGTGCGCGAGCGCTTTTAAAAGTGCTGGGTTAGTCATTAGTTTGAACTTCTGCGGTCTTTGCTTACATTTAGGTAGCTTGGAAAGCCGTAAAACTCTTGAACAAAAGTTTATCTTTCAAATCGACACTCTTAACCCCATAGGCATCAACGAACGCTTTTCATTCGTGTTTTTCTCGTCACAATGTTGCCACCAATGGCGTAGCTCCTCTTTCTACATATAAAGCCACACGCAACCAACAATTCCTCCATTCGCTCTGACGAAGGAATAACGCTCGAAACGTCAGCTTTTGAACTCTTTACGGTAGCAAATTTACAATTTCAACTTAGTTGATATTACCAAATTACCTTGTTACCCCCACCGACGCAGCACCACAGTTTCTTTAGAAACTTACCCCCCTTATTCATATAGTTCGTAGAAAGCATGACAGGGTTCTGAAACCCAATTGACAGAAAAAAAAAAACAGTAAGCCAATTCCGTAGACTCAAAAGAGGGAACTTTGGGTGCGGGTGTAATGGATTAACTACTGCAACCATGCTGTCAGTGCCACGTCTCTAGTTAATACACAAACTTTATCATCCCTTTACTAACTTGTTGTTTGTTTGCTTTTTTCTTGTTTCTTTTTTCTTAGTTTTGATTTCCTCTTTTTTTCAGGAGGGTGGGGCGCAACTAGTTATGCCCCTGAACAAATTTGGGTCAACCTTTAAGATCCATAAACGGTTACAAGACCTTCTTTGAAACAGAAATATTCTTCTCGCTATACCTCAGTTTCAGGGCAACCAATCTGTGAAAATGGACAGGGTCCCTGTATACCATCACAGTCTCCAAGAAATGGATCCTGATGTTGTGTCAACTACAAAGAAAATAACGGGAAACGATTAGGAGAGCAATTGAAAGAATCTCAAGCGGATGTAGGATGCGCCAGCTGGCATGAATGGAAGCCCAATGTATTGCAAGATTCCATAAAATGCTTATCCTTACCTTGGCTCTTGTAATGTCAGCTTTAATGCATTTTTCACACTTAACTGGGTAAGCTGGACATTCCTTCTCGTGGTGCAACTGAAAACGCAAAAAAATAGTTGACAAAAACAATGTTTAATAGTCAAATAAGAAATCTTGGCTACATATTTCAAAAGACAATGCCTCCGGGGCACTTGCAGAGGAACCCTTTTATGGCACTGAAACTTGAATTGCCTTCTGAGTTTCAGTGAGGACTGATTGAAGTCAACATTAATCACAAGAATTACAGCATGAACAACAACAATCCACATACCTTCATTGTGTTTAGCTTGATTTGTTTCTTGCAGAACCCACATGTTTCAAGCCTGCACTTGCACTCCTTCTCCAAGTGTTCAGTAAGATCTGCTTTCTTCACTAGTGCCCCACACTCAGGATGTACACATGGAACTTTAAGAAATTCACAGCTGACTGTGTGGTTCTGCATCAAACCCAAATTGCAAGAAATAGTAAGTATTCAATCATATGGATTACTTAGCAGAGGAATGTGTGGCACCTCTACTGCCTTCAGCATGGAAACAGTAACAACTGATACAAAAGATGAGCAATAAATTTACAAGGCTTCAAAGGCTGCTAGACTCCTTCAACAGCATAGTAAGTATTCATAGTAAGTATGAATAGTAAGTATTCAATCATATGGATTACTTAGCAAAGGAATGTGTGGCACCTCTACTGCCTTCAGCATGGAAACAGTAACAACTGATACAAAAGATGAGCAATAAATTTAAAAGGTTTCAAAGGCTGCTAGACTCCTTCAACAGCATGTACAGCTGTATAGATGTTAACTGAGTGAAACGGACAGTAAGACGAGCTTCTTGATCCTCGTCTATCTATTCTTAATCTGCAATTGAGTGAAATATTTACTTCTGCAACCCACAACCTTTTGCATCACCTTTTCCACACAACATAAGTTTGTGAAAAAAATTCATCACCATTTGGTTACAGGTTACATCGGTGACTACATATTTTAAAAAGATACTTTGGTTTTCTCAACTGAGTTGATCAGGAAGAGCCACAGTAAAGAGTGTCTAAAGCTGACGATTTGAGCGCTTGCACTTCGTCAGAGTGAATGGCCAAGGGCTAACCCTCAAAACGTCAGCTTTAGACATTCTTTTCTGTGGCTAACCCTCATCATCAACTCAGTTGATCAAACCAAAGTATCTTGTACTCCCCCACTGTTGCAGCACCACAGTTTCTTCAAAACTTACCCCCCTTTATACATATTTTAATATTTTGCCACACAGTAAATGTTTAAGTGACAAAATGACGAACTAATTTTTCCTTTTGATCACCAAATAAAGTACAGGTGTCAAAAAACAAAATAAACAAACCAAAAACAATGTTAATTCTAATACACAGTCATGCAAAGAGGAAGATTACCGGACTCAAGACTTTAAACCAACCATCAAGACAAATAGTACCTCCAAATAACGCACTTCCCCTTTCCATTTACATCCTTCTTCCATAAATGTGCAGTAGACAACCAATGCTTGAACTTCACGCCGCATGAAGTTATCAGGAAAGACCTTAGAAAAAAGGGCTAGGAAATCAAATTCTACACAACTAAACAGCCATACATAGACTTTCCATCTAAGTAATTGCTTCACAATCACATCCTGAATATCTAAAACAACACAAGAAATCTGACATTTGTTTTATAGTATGAAAACCAATGTTCCTATCATGGACTGTGGTCTTACTCAAACAAATATTCAGCCTAGGGTCCCATTATCACTTTCTTCCAAGTGTTTGACCATCATTACTTATTTTACCATTCTTTTCATTGCATCATGAATTCTAATCGATAAGAGTCTTTCAAAAGAAGGTTACAGGTTGTCATGATTGAAGAAAACAGGAAGCAAGTACGCCACCGCAAGTGCTGTGTAACCCAAGTCTCCTGATCTGATGTGCCTTACCTCATGCGGAAGGAGGACTACTTGATCTTGGACACAGGTCATGTTTAATGTTCCATTCCTAGACGATTCATAATAAATTTAATTAGTAAATATCTTTTTGGGAAGTTTTGGCGAAATATTCACTGTTTCACAGTATTAAAAAATGTAAAGAATGAATTAACCACAATGAGGTCCATGACCGTTTGTTTCCTTTAATTTAGAGGTGAACAGACATATGACTCATGACAGAACAAAATTCAGTCGTTCTTTTCAAACCATTGCACATCGTTTCAAATAGAAAAAAAAATGAAGGTTTTTTGTTTTCGCCAATTCAGCATAATTAAAGACCTACACGTGGTAATAAGTTTGGGTTGAACATCCCCCTCTTAAGGTTAAATCTCTCAGTCAAACAGCTAACAGTGACGCGAAATCTTCCCGTTCCTTGCATTGAATAGAGGCGAAAACCACACACCATGTTTCAAAGTCAAGTTTCTTGACTAGTGGCGTCATTATTTTAAGCTTACTGCGGATCGGAAGTAAAAATATGAAATTACTCATCACACGTACAAACACAAATTTCCAAGGCAAGATTGACAGTAAAAATGTCCACATTTGGTCTGAATAGCATCCTTTAAAAGAAATGTGCACGAGTTACAAAGGTATTTAATTCCAAGTGCTTCTTTGTCTGCTTTCGCCAAACGATATCCCGGCATCTTTTAAGCAGGTTAAAATGTCAAGTGAACTCCTGTCTTCCTTTGTAGAATCTATCAAAGTAAAACAAGAAGAAACATCATTTTTAAATATCTTTTTGTATCTTACATCCTTCATAGTAAAACGACTTTAAAAATTAAAAACAGCCGTGAGACAAAAAACGCACGATGGCTCTTTTACCGAGGTAGAGAGGTTGCTAATTTTTTATCAGTGTTGCAGCTATAAATAGTGTCAGCTCCATGATTAAACTTGGGGACTAACGTTGGTTTCTAGACAACACCGACCGTGAGACAAATTTGGAGGCCTTATAACTGCAACATTGAGGAGTATTTGTGACCAAGCTCGCCCAAAACATGTCCAGGCATGATTAATAAAGCATATCTAAGTAGACTGTCCTGGAGAAGTAAGGTTCCCAGTGGTATCCCCCTGGGGATTGGATTCACCATTACGCCTCTAGACCTCTGCTCAATATTATTTTCTTATATGCCCTAGAGATTGAAAGGAAGGTTCTGCCTGGTAAAAACTTGAATGTCATCAACAGATCGTCAACGGAAAATAATGTGACACGTTATTTTCTCTTGATATCATTCAAACAATTGTTGTTTAAGAATGATAAGGAGGGAGGATTAACTACTATTGACAACTTACTTAGCACAGTACGAGACTTAAACAAGGATATTAGCTTGAAATTTGGGCTGAAAAATGTTTACTGTCCTTCCTTTAAAACGAAGTAAGGGTGTTACATTTATCAGAAATGTGCATGCCAGATGGAAGTAGAACGAGGCAGGTGGTCATCCTTCGGAAAAAGTATTTGGCTCAGTTCTTCAATGTGAGACTTCACGACAACAGTGATAACGATAACGATGACGATGACGATGACGGTAAGGATAATGATAATGATGATGAGAATAACGACAATAATGCTAGTTGTGGCGACGGTAATAGCTTAGAAAGACACAGTCCATCAAAGAGACTCATATCACGCTCTGACCTTAGGCTAAGGATGGGCTTGGTTATTATGATCTATTATGTGGTCCCACTACTGCATCATAAATCAATGTTTCTAGCCGCAGGAAAGGCGGCCGCGTCGCAGAAAGCCTTCATTACCGGCATTTTTATCTTATCCTAGGTTTCAGTGACATGTCCGGCTGCACTGCAGGCTACTGGAGAAGGATCTTTCTTACCGAATATGCTATACCCAGCTGCAGGTACATTCCTGGCAATAATTTTTCGCTCAAGGATTTCGCTCCTTCTCCCACCTTTGTAGCGAGAGGAAGTTTATCTTACTCTTGCGGGACGATAGCCAATGTTCTAGACTGGTTGTTCGACCATCAAGTCTAAAATAAGAAAAAGTCTATATGCGGCAAAGTCTGTTTAAGTTTGGGGTCTTTGGATAAGCTGCGAAATGTCTGCAGCATCGTCTTCTCAGAGAATACTCCTTTGTTTACTGAGGGAAGGAGCTCAGATACTATGTTTTGATCTGCCTTTTCGATAGTGACACAAAGGGAAAATATATTTTATCACGAACGACATAAAATACGAGGAAACACCCAGAAATTAGAATCTGTTCTAGAAAATATACATTGCGTGAAAAAATCCATGACATAGACAGTCCTCATGGGTTAATCATATTTCCACTTCCGCCGAATATTCTTTATTGTGCCTAATACACAATAAACCCATAGTCTGTTGAGATCTGTCTGGCGATTGGGTAGTTAAAAAAAAAAGTGGCTTTACTACATCGCTCGCGGCGCCCGCGGGCAAGATGAAGCGAATCTTATGCTCTGATTGGCTACCTGAGCGGGATTGCCCGCATTAATCCCGCGTATGAAAAATTCGAATTAGACCTACGTCCGTAATTATTGAACAATTTCGGCGATAGAAACGCAAAAAGCGGCAGTAGGTAGTCAAAACAAAGAAAACAGGAACGACTCTCGTGGGTCTCATGTGCTACAAACACAGTTGGCTTTCTTTCCCGGCTTTCGAAGAAAACAACTTATTCTTAATGAAGCGAAATCTTTTTGCAATATATTAAATCCTTTATTAACCAAGCTTGTTCGGTCAAAATGGCTAGATATTAGCCTCGTTCTTTTTTCGCATTTTTATGGCCTCGACTTCGTCTCGGTCCATAAAAATGCAAAAAAAAATCTCGATCCAGCCATTTTGACCTCACGCTTGGTTGATAATGCTTATTTTGACATATTGACTAATTATCTCCTTAAAGAGAATAAGTTTATATTTAGTTATTGTCTATAAATAGTATATTTCTCGTGCTAAAAATTTCATGCCAGTGTGTTTCCAAAATTTCAGCTGCATGGAGACATGAAATGAATAGGTGTACTTGACATCATCATGTAAATGGTCAACTTAACATGCTATCAAAATTTGTCCTTCAGCTGAAATCTTGCTCAGGAATGCAATTTTGTTAGTGGTTATCAGTATACATAAAAATATCCAAGATTTTGTTTATTTTGGTCAGCTACCATGTGTATCAATCAGCACAACCAACTTCATGTAAATCTGGTTGGTTTCTCGTGTAATCTGTTGTTACTGAGCCCAGTTTACTCTGATTAGTACTTGAGTTTTGCACTAGTGATACATAAAAAAGGCACCTAACMSRTTT